CGCTTAGTCTCGACCGTTACTTGCATCCCGCCAACTCCATTGACTATAAGCGTGACATCCTCACTTCTCAAATTCAGCTCACCTGCAGCCTCATGAGTGATGTAATTAGTGTCGGATGCCAAGTCTAACAAGGTCCCAATCTTTTGCCCAGCATTTGCAGTGACTTCGAGGATCATCATTATGACTGGAAGCTCCTCAAGGCCGTTCTCCGCCATGGCTGAACTGAACGTTTTTGAGACAGAGTTACAGAACACATTCCTACACCGCTGAGCCAAGTCGGGGGCCAGGCTTGTCAGGAACTCCTCCTGGGTCTCAGTGTACTTTCTCAATTCGCCTCTTGCTGGGCTGGGCTTCAATCTCCTCAGCCCATCTCCCTTGCTTCCAACCTTTGGACAGAGGTAATAATGATGACCCAGACCTTGAGTATCCTTACATCCCTCGCTTTTGCACAGAAAGGTGGTCTTGCACTCTGCTTCGTTGTCGTGAACTTCGAGACACCTCCCACAAGCACCAAGTTTCTTAACTGCTTCTTTCTTGTCTGCTACTCTGAGCATTTTAAACTTTTTACAATAATACAGCTTCCTCCCGTGGGACCTCTCTCCACAGATAACGCACAATGCTTGGGAGCTTGAGGAGTTGGTAGACCTTGTCCGGCCGTGCTTTTGTGGAATTCTTACCTCCCTCTTACCGGGGTCATCATCCCTTAATTGATCTAATTGCTCGTAAATCTTCTCCTGACTTCTCAGAAACTTAAGGAGTATGTCGAACCTGTCTTCAGGTGATACAGCCTCCTCCCCTTTTGATACATAGACCAGCCACTCCTTTTTTAAACTTTCAGGTAGCTTGCTCTCCAGGGACTTCGTTACGAGTGGATTTTTCAAGGCGCCCGTATTCCCCAACCCACTGAGGTCGTACAAGGCTTTTTCCACAACCTGGATCAAGTCCACGATCTTCCTGGGTTGGTGGCTTCTCACTGGTGGCAGCGCCTGCAGCTCCTCAACAATTTCCAGAGCGATTGCTGTTTTATTTCCAAATCGGTTCTCAAGGATACGAAAAATTTCATCCGCCGTTCCGTAAGTTGACAGACGAAGGTCCCTTGCTACCTTTTTCTCAAGGCTATCCAACAGCTGGAATTTCCTTACCTCCTTGGAGCCGGAAGGTTCCCCTTGCTCTTGGAGCGCCTCCCATTCCTTTTTCCAGAGGTAGAAATTTCGCTTATCTCCATCAAACTGAGGGAGTGCTGTTGGCCTCAATCTGATAGCAGGTGACCGGTGTGGGGTTTCTTCTGGGTACCCCTCTTTTCCTAACTTCTCTTGTAATAGAGTAGCCTTCCCTGAAATCAGGTCAAGCAGCCACACTTCCACATCCCTTATGCGCTGCCGAAAGTCAGGTCGCTCTTCATCTGGGACCCAGCGAGTCCATCGGCGAATGGCTTCTTTTGCTGCTTTCACCAGCCCCTCAAGATTACTAAGCATTAAGTCATATACCTCTAATTTCAGGCCAGATTTATCTTTCTCCAGCCGCTTGCACTCCTTTTCAGCTGCCTCCAATACTAGGGACAATTCAGGGTAGCCAAAACCTTGCCACAGAACACTCTGGACAGCCTTCTCCACTTCCCCAAGCTTTTGCTCACACTCCTCTGCTGTCCTTTTAACATCTTGCACTTCACCCTCTTTGGAGGTGGACGCAAGCTCCTCTTCCTCAGTCCAAACAGCATCCACCTCCTCATTTGGGTGGGGGGGGGGGGGGGGGGGGGGCTGGAGACTCAGCTGCAGATGGGCTTGGTGGGAGCTTTGGATCAACTCAGCTTCGCAACAGCTGTTGGGCCAACTTAATCGGAGCTTCTTCAACCAGTCTCGCAGGCGGTTTTTCACTGTCAAGTGTTGTGCTTCTTAGCTGTGCTTAACCCCCACTTGATAGGGAGGCACCAATCTTGAACATTTAACTGGGTTTCACTCAATAACCAGGCCTCTGTTGCATCTTTGTCTTTTTATTTGTCTTCACTTTTTGCAGCCCAGATATTTACAGGTGAAAAACCTTAAAACCAGAAAACACAATTTACCAATTTGCACATTTTTTATAAAAACAGGCACACAGGGCTCAAAACAATTAATTATCAGAATCTAACTCTAGACAGACACATATGTATATATAAATAAACTGATTTCTAAATTATTTTAGTTTGAATTCATCACAAATATTGAATTACGATTTAAACTACGGGAGGCACAATGAATTACATAAGTAACCAAACACAATGAAATCGCTCAACAATTGAATAGTCAAGCAGTGAGTTTAACACATTTTTGCCCATATAAATATTTACAATACATCCTCACTCCCATTGAACTACAATCTACAATTTTCCTTTTCAGCTAAATGTTATAGGAAATCTAGGACCATGCATACTTTAGACCATATCTTTACAAGCAACTAATTCAATACAACAGTATCCCACATACCAGAACACATTAAACTTTAATTTAAGCAGACTGCAATGAAATTGACCAACCAATATTTGCACAATGCATTTCGCCAACTACCACGTGAATATTTCCAACACACAGATACCACAGCGCACAAACACAAGCGTCTTCTCCCGTCCGCACCTCAATGCCTCATCAGCGTGCAATAATCAACAAATGACACTCGCATCAAAGGATTATTTCCGTGGCGATCTTACCGGCTGTCCGTTCAGTCTCTTGAATTGGTACCAGATTCCGCACAGCTTCAGGAAAGTTTCAGGAGAATGGCGCTTCCCTTCCTTACGCAGTCTAGGCGTTATTGCCGGTGCTAGCGAACACGTTGAATCGGAAGTGCGCGCGTCCTTTTCTGCTAGAGTGCTCACAGGTGTGTGAAATTTCAATCCGCCTGACCGCTGACGAGAGAGGGGCGGGCGTTCGCCGCAACACTCACCTAAAGGATTATTAGCAACACCATACTAATACTGTGTTTGACCCCCTTTCGCCTTCAGAACTGCCTTAATTCTACGTGGCATTGATTCAACAAGGTGCTGAAAGCATTCTTTAGAAATGTTGGCCCATATTGATAGGATAGCATCTTGCAGTTGATGGAGATTTGTGGGATGCACATCCAGGGCACGAAGCTCCCGTTCCACCACATCCCAAAGATGTTCTATTGGGTTGAGATCTGGTGGGGGCCATTTTAGTACAGTGAACTCATTGTCATGTTCAAGAAACCAATTTGAAATGATTCGAGCTTTGTGACATGGTGCATTATCCTGCTGGAAGTAGCCATCAGAGGATGGGTACATGGTGGCCATAAAGGGATGGACATGGTCAGAAACAATGCTCAGGTAGGCCGTGGCATTTAAACGATGCCCAATTGGCACTAAGGGGGCTAAAGTGTGCCAAGAAAACATCCCCCACACCATTACACCACCACCACCAGCCTGCACAGTGGTAACAAGGCATGATGGATCCATGTTCTCATTCTGTTTATGCCAAATTCTGACTCTACCATCTGAATGTCTCAACAGAAATTGAGACTCATCAGACCAGGCAACATTTTTCCGGTCTTCAACTGTCCAATTTTGGTGAGCTCTTGCAAATTGTAGCCTCTTTTTCCTATTTGTAGTGGAGATGAGTGGTACCCGGTGGGGTCTTCTGCTGTTGTAGCCCATCCGCCTCAAGGTTGTGCATGTTGTGGCTTCACAAATGGTTTGCTGCATACCTCGGTTCGGTTGTAACGAGTGGTTATTTCAGTCAAAGTTGCTCTTCTATCAGCTTGAATCAGTCAGCCCATTCTCCTCTGACCTCTAGCATCAAGGCATTTTCGCCCACAGGAGACAGGACTGCCGCTTACTGGATGTTTTTCCCTTTTCACACCATTCTTTGTAAACCCTAGAAATGGTTGTGCGTGAAAATCCCAGTAACTGAGCAGATTGTGAAATACTCAGACCGGCCCGTCTGGCACCAACAACTATGCCACGCATAATTTCTTAAATCACCTTTCTTTCCCATTCTGACATTCAGTTTGAAGTTCAGGAGATTGTCTTGACCAGGACCACAGCCCTAAATGCATTGAAGCAACTGCCATGTGATTGGTTGATTAGATAATTGCATTAATGAGAAATTGAAAAGGTTTTCCTGATAATCCTTTAGGTGAGTGTATTTCTGTCACTAAGGCCCATAATGTAACATAGAAGGTAATGGAGCTCTGTATACATTGTCGTGTTTCTTTAGAAATAAATAATGGACAAATGGAGTCTTTAAACGCCTCAGATGTAAAGTTATTCGCTGTCAAAGTGACGCCAAAATGAATGGGAGTCAATGGAAATGCTAACGCAAGTGAAGTTCTGCTACAAGATGGCGGCACCCGGCCGGCTTCAACTTCCGGTCGATGGATTACCCCCTTGGTTTGACGTCAGATTTGCGCTTCTGATTGGCCAACGTGGCTTTACGGTTAAGGGTTATATCGCCACCTGCTGTCGTGGCATGCTCTTGACCACGCTTGATAGCGTGTTTTTTGCGTTTTCATGTAGAAAGTGACAGAGCATGTGTGGACGGGATTTTTTTTAAACGCTGTAGGAAAAACTCCGGTTAAAAAAATACCCGTGTCCGTGTGGACAAGGCCTAAAACGGGGCGAAAAGTGTCCCAATTAACCTTAATTTGCCTTATTTGTTGTATATTTATACAGTTTTCCAGTTAACATGACGCAAATAAATTGAAACTCTTTTGCTGCTTCAGTTATATCATATCTTGTGATTTACATGACTAGTATTACATGAACTGACGTATTTTCATTATTAAGGCCACATGAATTGTCAAGTGAAATTGTTGGATCCGGTTATTAATAGAAAAGCCAAAACAAAAAGTGAAGGCAGACATGCCCTTTATCTCAATAAGTAACCCAATTAAAATGTAAATTAATTATACCAGAATGGCCAAATCTTATTGTTTTATGAGACGCTGGGACAATGCGCGGTCCCGCTTGGTCAGACAGGCGGCGGCGCGCATAGTTGGAGCACGCGGTACGAGCGAACAGGCGCGCGCGCGCGTCTCTGTCGTTAACCGAAAAAGGAGAAACGATTGTGCTCGATTGAACTACCACGAACGTCGCAGCGACGGACGTTGCTTTGTAAATTATGTAAAATAAAGATATGTATCACGCTATACACCCGTGAATACGTTAACGTTATTCACCGGCGGAAATGTGTGCTAATAATCTCGCGGAAAAGAACAACAATATCTGTTTTTAACAGATGATGTGTCCAGGAAGATTTGCAGGATTTAACGACGCCGCTCAAACAAGAGAACCAAACGCTCGTATAAGAAAAGGAGTACGTTAAACACCGGCAACGTTACACGACAAATTACGCTTATATCCAACGAGATGATGACGAGCTGTTGAGTGTTTGACAGATACATTGGAGAAAGCGAGACCTTTCGACGACCTGTTTCAGTTGTAATAACGACAGAGAATGCAGCACACCGGTGAGTACCGTTGACTATTATGTTAACGTTAAATAATCACCAGCTTCTGATATTCGAAGGACCACTATTTGCAGATATAAATTGTAAAATAAAAATGCATCTTTATTCTTTAGGTGCTGTATGTGTCTTTCAGACATAAAAATCCCAGGCAAACATAGCTTAGATGCTAACACAACGCGGTGGTGCTGAAATAGATATTGGCAATGGGCGAGACGAGCAATATTGCCGCCTGAACGGTAAAAAATAAAGATGTTTCCATCTTTTCTTGGTCTGCTTTTCACTTCTGGTTCCACATAGGTTTCTGCTCTTGATCGCGTCTTTTAATTTCTTTATCCGTATTTGACTTGCTAACTGAGTGACAGTAAATGAAGACTGAATGTGCAGCTAAGACAGGCGTTTGCTCTCTATCTTTCTGCATTATGTCATATTCTGCTCTTAACAGAATCACTTATGCTTATTATCAATTTAACGACTAATGGTGGTTGATTTAGCAAGTTACAACCTAATAGCACACATTTGTGTATTTTTTTTTATGGCTGCCATATCCTCTGTTGCTATGTGTTTTCAACTCAAAGCGTTGGCCACTGTTGCTCAGTGTAGTGTCTCATAGATGGTCCCTGTGTTGTCTACCTTATCTTTCTTCTAAAATACAAGCGTCATTTTGTAGTAGTAAGATTTTGAGTCAATGACAGATAAGTATGTCTGAGGTTATGAAAACTAGAAATTAGTTTAAAGTGCTAACGTTACGTTCTTTGAAAATGGTTCGTACGAGTTCCTAAAGATGTTTTTGAGTTGTCAAGTGGTGCAAAAAATGTATCATACATTTAAAATGGGTTTACTTGGGTTGGCCTGATGTGACCTGCCTTTTCATATAGTCACAATGTGTTTTTTTCTTTTTTATTTATGACCATGAAAGACAGTAATCCGGGTCTGTGTACTACTATGTTTTATGGTTTTCTTCTCACATGACACATGGTTTCCTGCATGTTGGTTACTCCATGCTAACTTTGGTTTGATTAGTAGAAGTTTTTCAAATATTAATATTTTTAAACGTAACTGCTTTAATGTTGTAAGAAATAATAAAAAGAATACAATAATATAACATTACATTTATTTTTTGAGTGACTTTATAGATCTAGACAAAAAAAAACATCACTTAGCCTAATTGATCCATATACCATGTATTGCTATATAAAGAACTTAGCATAAAAGCATTTTTACGAATGAAAAAAGTCTCTTGCTCACTCCGGCTGAATTTATTTGATCAAAATACAATAAAATTGTAAAATATTATCAACAGTGACTTATCAACAGTTGTGCTGCTTAATACTTTTGTGGAAACCATGATAAAAAAAAAATGTCATGGCTTCTTTGGTGAATAGAGTTCATCCTTGTTTATCATCTGTTTATCCCCCCACATATATATTATACTACATTATATTATATTCATTTGTGTAAGCCTCCTAACACAGGTTTGTTCATTTAATTGTAGGGTCTAGGGGAATCTTTTGTAATGTCTTTACTGTACCTTTCGATAAATTTCATGTGCCCTTACTGAGTAAAAGTAATTCTTTAAAAAAAAATCTTACTGACCCAACCCTAACTTGTATGCAGCTTTGTGTATTTGTGCAATCTATGCTGATGGGGACAAAGCAGTGATTAGTGTAAAAGTGATGTTAAAAATCCCTCAACTTCATTGGTAATCTGCCCCGTATTGTATGAAAGGATAAAACAACAGAGAGCTTATTTTAGTCATAAACCTCAAAAGCACAGTAGTAGCCACTTATTATTTGTAATCCACATCATGGCAAGCTTCGATTAAACGGTCTCACCTGGATTATATCATAGACTGAACAAAGAGAAGGTAGTATTAGGCAGTATAGTCTCTCTTTTCTGGTTCACTGTGTACCCTATACCTTCTGTGACCACAGTGACACTCACTTTCACATGCTTGACCTAGATTGGACAAAAGTGTTTGTTTTGTGGTGTTCTTGGTGTTACTTAATGGGATGAGGACAAACTTTATGCCTTCAACTCCAGCTGTCACTTTGCTGTAATTTACACCTTTGAATTTTACAAGCACCAGATTTCATTTAGGACCATTTGTCTTGACGCTGTGCTGGGTCCTCTTGGCCATAGCTTATTTTACTTTAAAAAGAGCGTTTTGTCATTTTAAGTCAGATTTAGCAAGATTCTGAGTTTACAGCCATTATTATTGTGAATCATAACACAATCTCTTTTTCCTAGAAATAGACTGTGTTTGAGGAATGAGTATTGATGTGACTGGTTAAAAAGAAATCAATTGTGACAGCAAATTATCCAGCCTACTTGCATCAGCGCCTGAAGCAAATGCAGATCCACAATCTCCAATCATACATTTGATGATTTTTGCCTCTAGTGTCATTCAGAATAATATGACAAAGAAAATATGACCATAGACCTTTCTTACTGCAAACTGACCTTTTCATCTCAGCTTGAATGGGCACTTAACTCGGTTGCAAACTAAGCTGTAAATTATGTAGATACCTCAGTAATCCAAGACAGACAGCAAATGTCGGACGTTCCAGTTTAAAATGACTTTTTGTTGTTGTTATTGCACTTCCTGACATATTAAATCTAAAAAGAAATAGTTTTGAAAATCCAAAAATGAAAATTCTGATCATTTACTCTCATATGTAGTTACAAACCTGCATGATTTTCTTCTGCAAAAAAACACACACACACACAAAACAGCAAGACATTTTCTAAATTATATTCTTTCTAATGTGTACCACAGAAGAAAAGCAGCATACATGCAGACATGAAGATAATCAATTTTCGTTTTTGGGTAAGTGGTACCTTACCATGTAATAAAAACAAATAAACACTAAATATGATGTCAGTTTAAAGTTTTATATATATATATATATGTATGTGTGTGTGTGTGTTTTAATTAAGATTGTGTTAATATAACTAAATTTGAATAATTCTAATATTCTAATTCTATTATTGGAGCCCCCCTGGAAGTTTGCTGAAACCCCTAGTGGGCCCCAGCTCCCTGATTGGTATCCTCTGCTTTAGGAGGCAGAAAAACTGGAGCGGAGTTATGATTATGTCTGTGCATTCATTGTCAACACAGAAAGGCTCTACTTACTTTGCACAATTTATTTACAATTGAAATATAGCTGACACTTATTCCATTCCATTTTATTTATTGCTTTTGCTGATATCATCATCATACTCATATTCTGCTCCACACCTCTTCAACTCCCACATGCCCAAACTTCAGTTGGTTTTCTTGTGGTGGAATTTTGTCTATTGTCACTGCTGTCACTCACACTCAAACTAGCACATATTTTATCACGGGGAAATCTCCCCAACTCTTTGTGTGTGTGTGTGTGTGTGTGTGTGTGTGACACCCCCCCCCCCCTTCCTTTATATCCCTCCCTTGTTCTCATTCACACACATTTTTCCCACCCATTTCAACCCAACCCCCCTTATCTGACTCCCCCTCGACTGGCTGTCTAAAAACTTGATGTCCTCTCTTCCTACCCACAATCCTTTCCTGTCCCCCCCTTTTTCATCTAGCTTCATCATAGCTCAACCCCCCAAACCTTTCTGTCTGCCCCCTCCCTAAACACATACACAGATACACACACGCTACGTTCCCTGGCTCCCTCTTTGTCTGCCTCAGTAAATCAGCAGAGCCTGCTCAGTTCCAGGGGATTAATGTGTGTATGCCGGTGAAGAGAGCATTGAAAAAACTGGGAGAGGCAGAGAGAGCTTGATTTTTTTGTGTAGCGCCTGTTGTGTTTGGAGTTTCAGAGCACTGTGGGAGCGGACAACGTGGCGTGTGTGAGAGAGAGAGTGCTTTAACAACACAGTGCACTGATTAGCTGTATCTTTGTTGAGGAAGAGCTTGGGAACGGCATGATAAAGTGTTTTCAGAGTCATTTAAGAAGATCCTGTCCAATGTGAGCTGCAGTTGATGCACTCAGAATTTTAAACCCACCTAGAGAAAGCGTTTGCACATTTCAAAGAGGATTAAATCACAGGCACAGATATTAAAATTAGCGATACATCTGGGTGAGGTTGGACGCCGTATGTCATGATTAGTCCCACATGCTCCACTGACAGATGAGAATGTAGAATAACAGAGCTAATATACCAAACTAAACATCTTCAGAGTTGACTGGGCTTGTCATATTCCGATTTTCCCCAAAGCATTGTATGCTAAATTACACAGGCAAGTTAAGGCTACTCTGAGGTTCTGCCTCCAAATGTGTTGTGCATGTATATATGCAATGCTCAATAAAAGCTAAAATATGCAGCACTGATCCGCCTCAGACCCTACTAGTGACAGAAGCGGTTCTGGTTGTGCTTTGGTTCTGTGTAAATTAAGTGCAGAATCAGTGCAGCCTTAAAGGTGCAGTAAGCAATTTCTGAAAAACACTTTTGAAAGTGGATCAGACCTATCACCACAACACACTTGTAGCCAATCAGCAGTAGCAGTTGTGGCCTAATGGTTAGAGAGTCCGACTTGTTACCCGAAGGTCGTGAATTTGAGTCTCAGTACCGTCAGGAAATGTAGGTGGGGGAGTGAATGAACGGCGCTCTCTTCCACTCTCATTACCCACAACTGAGGTGCCCTTGAGCAAGGCACCTAAACCCCAATCGTGAATAGCAGCAAACATACTCTACTATTTCGTTCTTCCTTGTTGTTCGTTCATCATCTTCTCTTTATTTTTCGCGAAGCTTTATTTTGCTTCGCTTTTGCTATGATAGACACATCCACACTTGCATTGTGTGTTCATGCATTTGGGGTGGAGCAATGAAGGGAGGGTCGTGTTTGTTTGGGTTGATTTCAAATATCAAGTGTTCAATAATGATTCTCAGAAATCGCTTACTGCACCTTTAAAATGTTTCCATTGTTTTGGAATATGAATTTTATTTATAGCTAGTGATGCACTGAAATTCTGGACACACTGGACACCGAAAACAAAAAATAAATTGTTTAGTGA